TGCTCTGCTCTGGATCTTTCTCCCAAGGGGCCAATGCTCTTCCACCCTCTGTGTCCCTATCTGTGCCTTCTCAATCGCAGGGATCCTTTCAGCAGGGATGGTGACGGCGAGCTGCCCTTTTTTCTCAAAAATGTGAGTAACCACAGTCCTGCTTGTCTAGGGCTTAAAAGCTTACAAGACCGTCTCACATCCCAGCTCCCTCCATCTGCTTGGGAACCCTCTGAGAATCCATGGGCATGGGGAGTGTAAGGTGACTTGCCAAAGGTCATGCAGAGGGCAAGTGACAAAACTGGGGCTCGAACCCGGGTCTTTGGCCGCATGCCACCCCTGCGGGGGAGCGGTCTGAGTCCGCTGCAGGAGGCTGTTAGAAGCCCAGACCCCTTTTTACAAACAGGACCCTCGCCCTTGGCCTGTTCTGGACCTGGGGCCAGCCCACATTAGGCCCCAGTGCTAAGGAGCCTGGGGCCCAGATTTGGTCCCAAAGGGTTTCATTTTGTCCTCTAATTACTCGCTCACTGGCCCTGTCTGGTTGTCCTGCCCTCAGTCGTAAGGAACCCACAGCCCAGAGAAATGGGTCCCAGGGCTATTGGGTCATCACTGGAAGCAATGGTGCTGCTGATAGAGGTCAGTAACATTGTCCTTCTAGGAGGGGGACTGTAGGACTCGGCCCCTAACCAATGACGACGCTGCACACTGCCTTTAGACGGGACAGTTGGAGCCACCTGCCTTGGGCCCCATGCTTTAGATGTGTGCCTTGGGCCACATTCCTTCACATGGGGGTGCAAAGTCTACAGGGCCACAGGGACAGGCCCACCCAGAGCCCACATCCCTATTTTATTTTTATTTTTTATTTTTTTCTAAGATTTTATTTATTTGACAGAGAGAGATCACAAGTAGGCAGAGAGGCAGGCAGAGATGGTGGAGGGATGCAGGCTCCCTGCTGAGCAGAGAGCCCGATGTGGGGCTCGATCCCAGGACCCTGAGGTCATGACCTGGGCCGAAGGCAAAGGTTTAACCCACGGAGCCACCCAGGCACCCCCCACATCCCTATTCTAGACCACACTCCAGCTTCCCAGAGCTCCAAATTCCCTGCCTCAATGTATTTGTGGAGACTGCTTCAGGCCTCGTCACGGGGCCAGTGCCCTGGAGAGTTCAGTGAGCTGCTGGTCGGTGTCCTGCTAAGCCTCCAGGGGTGGGCAGGGGCTCTGCATACATAAAGTTCCCAGGGAGGGACAGACCCAGCGGTGGGGGGGAAAAGGAGGGCTGGTCGTGAGACTGGGCCATCCTCTGGGTCCCACAAACATGCACATGGGATGACAAAGGCTAAGGGAGTCCCGGTAGGTGTCTCCCAGAATTGAGGACCTAGTGCCGAAAAGGAAACAAACCAGCCCAGCCTGCCAGAAGCTTGACTGTGGAGTGAAAGCAGCAGAGGGCGAGGAGGTGCATTTCTAGGCCAGAGGTGAAGGTACCCAGAGGGCAAGACCTCTGGTCAGGCTGACTGCCATGTGCAGGAGTCACGGTTGTCTGCCACAAATCCCCAGCCCAGCGCTGAGGATTATTCTACTCCCGAGCAGCCCCTGGGGGTGACTGCTTCAGGCACTCCAAATAATGCAGGTGCCATCTAATTAATCTTCTTCAACTCTAAGGCCAATAGTAGAATCCTAATTTATAGGAAATAAAACTCAGAGAGGTTGGGGCGCCTGGCTGGCTCAGTGGGTTAAAGCCTCTGCTCGGAGTCCTGGGATCGAGCCTCACATCGGTCTCTCTGCTCAGCGGGGAGCCTGCTTGTCCTCTCTCTCTCTGCCTGCCTCTCTGCCTACTTGTGATCTCTGTCTGTCAAGTAGATAGATAAAATCTTTAAAAAAAAAAAAAACAACTCAGAGAGGTGCCCAAGGTCACACAGCATGTAAGTGGTGGAGGTAAATTTTCCGCTCAGGCAATCTGATTCTCAAGCCAACACTAACCTCCCAGGGCACTGGCCCAGCGGCAGTGGCCAGTAAGTCAGTAGCTGAGACATAGAGCTCTTTACAGCAAAGCGGACCTGCCCATTTAAGGATCGTTAAGGCCTTTGCAGTCCCGGAACACAGGCTCATGGAATCGTTCAGTAAACGTTCACCGTCTGTGTCTGCATGCCAGGCACTCTGCTTGGTTCGGAACCTTGCAGAGAAGTAAGTTATGGTCCTGTCTTCAAGGAAAAGGAAGCAGGGCCTCTTAAATGCACCAGAGTCACCGGGAGGGTTCGAGAAGTCGGAGATTGCTGTGCCCACCCTTCCAGCTTCTGAGTCAGCAGTTCCGGGTGAGGACGTGCTTTTGCAACAAGGTCCCAGCAGCCCATGCTGCTGGCCTGGGAGCCCTACTTTGAGACACAGTTTGGTAAAAGTCCCAGTCAAGAGCCCCTCCGTGAGTTGTAAGGCAAAATGGAACCCAACGCTCTCCCTTCCCCCGGCAAGGGGAACGAGGAGAAAATAAACCCGAAACTCCTCCCTGAAGGAGGGACTCTTTCCAAACCTTCCCCAGAGGCAGGAAGCCGCAGGGCCCCACAAAGGCGAGACAGGGGAGCACTATCTTCAGGAGCAGCCCAGCTCTCTGAGCACCAGCTGGCTGGCCCCCGACCTTCCAGCTGCCTGTCCCTCCAGGCTACTCCTTCCAGTCTGGACTCCACTGACTCCACAGAAATCTTATTCCCCACCAGAGGGGCAGGGAGGCAGTGCCAGAATTCCCAAGAGTGCCTTTTCAAATCATTATTTATTTTATTTCGGGGTGCGTAAGAGAGGGGAGACGTCCTGCATCGACAGGAACTGAGAATCGCCAGGCTGATGTCCCGCCTTTCCTTCCCTCCCTGCAAAATTGCCCAGAGAACGATCAGCAAGAAAGGCAACCTCTAGGCTAGGTAAATAAAAAAGAAATAGAGATGGAAGATTGGCTGGGAGCCCTGAGGATTAACTAACTAATTAATCCCCACAACAGTTTGACGAGGAACTAATTAATCCATTAAGCGCTTTGAGGGGCCGAGGCCTGGCCAAGTGCAGGGAGAGGCTTCTCTCCCTTGGCAGGCTGTGGTGGAGGGTGGCCCTTCCCAGGGGCCTTTGTGGAGGGCCTGTGCGAGGATCGAGGATCGTACATCTCAAAGGGGTATGTCTCCCCCGCATGGGAATCCTGCCTCCCACGCAGGCTTGCTGTCACTCCGCCCAGAGAACCAGAGAACCAACCGAAAGAAGGAGCTCTGCGGGGAACCACGGGGCCCTAGGGCTGGAGAAGGCCCTGGAGAGCCACTTTACAGATGGAGAATAGCGCGTCCCCCTTACCCTGACTCGCTCTTTGGACCCAGAGACAACCAATGTCTGTTTATAGCCATTTTTTTTTTTTGAAGATTTTGTTTATTTATTTGACAGAGAAAGACAGAGAGAGAGAGAGAGAGAGAGAGAGAGAGAGAGAGAGAGCAGGGGGGCTGGGAGAGGGAGAAGGAGGCTTCCCACTGAGCAGGGAGCCTGATGTGGGACTCCATCCCAGGACCCTGGGATCATGACCTGAGCTGAAGGCAGAGGCTTTAACCCACTGAGCCACCCAGGCACCCCTGTTTATAGCCTTTTCTACTCAGCACCCAGGCAAGCGGAATTCATATTTTCCTCTAGGTGTTGACTCTAGCACCCAAGGGGCCCTAAGATCTGTCTAAAATCAGATCAATGAAGGTCTGATTAAGACTAAGCGATCGCTTTATCTTGATGCGAGTTTTCACACGCTTTGGCTGCAGCACATGGAGGTGGGCGAGCCCCAAAGTCTGCTGAGATCTTCCCGACCCTTTGCTTTTCTGACGCTCTGTAATCTTCTGGGCCCCTGGAGCCCTGTGTGCCTCCTGTTACAACCAGACCTCAGAAATCGTCTGATAGGGCCACCTGGGGATATAAACTATCCCTACCTTTCCCAGAGAAACCTTTTCATTCAGAAAGGGAGTGAGGAGGGAGAAGCAGAGGGAGAGGGACGAGAGAGCTTAAGCTGGGTGTGCAGCCTGTTGTGGGGCTCAATCTCACAACCCTGAGATCATCGGGTCATGACCTGTGCCAAAAATCGAGAGTCGGATACTTAATCAGTGAGCTGCCCAGGTGCCCCTCCCAGAGAAACTTCTGTAGATCCTCCTCTCTCCTTAAGAAACAAAGGCTTGAAGCCAAAGGGATAAAGGAATGTCTGAGACCACGCAGCACGCACTATGAAATTCTGGAGCAGTCACTGGTGGGATCTCAGCCTGAACTCTGTGAGGGACAGACGGTGGCAGGGGCAGGCGCGGGGAAGGATGCTGGGAACAGCCACGCCCCGGCGAGTCCCTTAATAAACAGGCACCATGTGCCAGATTCGCTTCCAGGTACGGAGCCTGTGGGGTTGAACTGGACCGGATTCTGTGCCCCGCAAGGGGCCCCCTGTCTAAACGGAGGGAGGGAAGGGGCAAAGGTCAAGCAGAAGTTGCCACGGTGACTGAGTGTGGTCTGGCTTGTGGTCTGGCCTGGCCTCTGTGAGACCAGACCCCACCCTCCAGGGCGGGACCCGCCCACGGGAACCACTGAGTCACAGCCTGGGGCTGATAGACTGCAAAGCTTGTACAGCTGCCCTGAGGCGGAGTGTACAGGGTGTTGTTCTCAAGCTTTGCTGGCGGGCTGGAGGGAACGGATTCTTATAACCCATATCGCTGAGCACCGCTCAGGAGTTTCTGATTCCGCTGGTCTGGGGCGGGACCCGAGGATCCGTCTTTCTACCATGTTCCACGGTGTCTAATGCTGCTGGGCCCAGGGACCACACTTTGAGAACCACTGTTGTAGAAAGTTCTGGTCGGCCCGAGGTGCAGTGGAAGAGGGCATGTGAACCACGACCTGCAGTCCCCGCCACCAGCCGGAGAGAGACGCCATCCCCGTCGTTCAGCCCCCACCGGTGCTCTGGCGGCTACTCTGACTCTGTGGGTGGCTTGGTTGTGGGACAGTGGCTCATCTCCTCCGTGTTTGTGTTTGACACAGAGTGAAATGGATGAGAACCAGATCCAGATGGCCGGAGACGATGTGGACCTGCCCGAAGAGCTCCGGAAAATGGTGGATGAAGATCAAATCGAGGAGGAAGACAAGGATTCTATTCTTGGGCATTTACAGAACCTCCAGAACATGGACTTGGACACCATCAAAGAAAAGGCCCAGGCCACCTTCACGGAAATGAAGCAGACGGCAGGGCAGAAGTGTTCTGTGATGTGAGGGGAGGGCGCGGAGTCAAGGGCAAGGTGACCGCTCTCCTGAGGAACACTGCCAGCAATGAATACTTAAACACAGCAGACACAGAAAAACCATGGTTAGAAAGCACTCCACAAACTGGTAGACAACACCTTGATGATCTAAATGTTCCTGGTAGAGCACTTAGCCAGCACCTTGCAGTAGGAAACAGACTCTCCTTTTAGTTATAAATGTGGCTCCGGGGGCGCCTGGGTGGATCAGTGGGTTAAAGCCTCTGCCTTCGGCTCAGGTCATGATCCCAGGGTCCTGGAATCGAGCCCCGCATCGGGCTCTCTGCTCAGAAGGGAGCCTGCTTCCTCCTCTCTCTGCCTGCCTGTCTGCCTACTTGTGATCTCTGTCAAATAAATAAATAAAATCCTAAAAAAAAAAAAAATGTGGCTCCGTGTGAAATTTTTTTTTTTTTAAAGATTTTATTTATTTATTTGACAGAGAGAAATCACAAGCAGGCAGAGAGGCAGGCAGAGAGAGAGGAGGAAGCAGGCTCCCTGATGAGCAGAAAGCCTGATGCGGGGCTTGAACCCAGGACCTGGGATCATGACCTGAGCCGAAGGCAGCGGCCTAACCCACTGATCCACCCAGGCGCCCCTCCGTGTGAAATTTCATCTGTGAGTGATGTAGAACATGTATCTGCTTGGAGATCTTCAGGACAGCTTGGAAGAACCGAAAGCAAATGGCATTTCCTCTCTGGCTTCCTTTCTTAGAGGGCAGGGTCTCACCCTCTCCAACCATTAGCATGACTCCAAGTCCCTTGGAAAAAGATGTAGGAGGTCAGGGAGCCCACCGGGAACCCAGGCAGGTTCAATGGCAAGCAAAGATCACTCTGACTCTCCGAGGCACCTCGACAGGGCTGATCCTCCCCCATCAAGGGTGGCACTTGGACAGGTTCAAGGCCAAGGGGCGGTGGCGGGGATATGATGAGAGATGAAGGTGAGAAATGAGGGCAGGGAATGGACCTCACCAGCCATTTGCATCATTCTAGAGGCCATGTGAAGAATGGATTGTGTGTGTGGGGGGGGGCTGACAGGAGAGGCAGGGGGCAAGTAGGAAGGCTGTGGCTCTTCCCACGTTCAGCAGCGTCATCACCTGACGTCTGTTGGTGATTGCAATGACAACAAAGCAGGGGGACAAATAAAGAGCATTGAGAAGTTGAATCAGTCTCGCTCTGTGTGTGCGTGTCTCTCTCTCTCTCCTCGTTCTCTCTCATCTTCTCCCCAGCTTGCCTCCCTACCTCTCCTTGGTTTTCCTCTCCCGTCCCTCCTCATCCCTCGGCTGCAGACTAGATTCCAATAAATCTTGCTGTCCTTCTGCCCTGATCTTCCGAGGGTGCCACATTTCCTTCTCTTAACACTTGCTCTCGGGGGAATTGCTCCAAAGACAGACTATTTACCTCGGAAACATCTAGAGCTGGTTAACTAAAGCCAAACTAAAACCAAACCAAAACAAAACTTGCCTTTCAATGAATCTGTTCAATGAATAAATAACGCTTAAAGACAGCTTTAAAAAAAAAAAGATTTGTTTATTGGAGAGAGAGAGAGAGGGCTCACCAGAGCAGGAGTGGGAGGGGCAGAGGGAGAAGGAGAGAGAGAATGACAAGCAGATGCTCCACTGACCGTGCAGCCCACCACAGGGCTCGATCTCACAACCCTGATATCGTGACCTGACCTGACCTCGAAGAGTTGGGTGCTTCACCTGCTGAGGCAACCAGGCAGCCCCAAAGACAGCTTTTCACAAGAGGAACTGCTCTATCAGAGGAAAGGAGACCCAAGACCAAAAAGCTAGGGGCTAACCTGCTCTCTAACCAGAGCTCCTGAATGTGCGCTAGAAGAGGAAGCTGCGTGCTATGAAAATACGTAAATGATACAAATCATCAGCGGTCCAGGACCCACAATCCTCAGAAAAGTTTAGCTCCTCTTGGAAGTCCCTGGGAGAATATTGGAGCTGTCTTGAAGTTCACCGTCATACTCCATCCCAGCTGCTGTGATCAGATACGACAGTCTGGGTGACTTATAAACAAAAAATGTTTTTTTCTCATCGTTTGGGAGACTGGAAGGCTGCGATCAGGGTGCCAGTATGGCTGGGTGAGGACCTTCTTCTGGGCTGTAGCATTCTCATTTTATCCTCACACCATGGAAGCGGCAAGGGAGCTCTGGGGGGGTCCCTTTAATAAGAGCACTTACCCCATTCACGGGGCTCCACTCTCATCACCTAATCACCTCCCAAAGACCCCACCTGACAACATCACCATGAAGGTGAGAATTCAGCATATGAATCTTGAGGGGACACAGCATCACACAAACTCAGGACACAGCATCCACAGACCCCCGATACCGTGGGAATATTTTAAAATCATGCTTGTCTTTTATCAGAACTGGCATGCGAGTGCTGATTGGTTTTATAGTAGAACACGTAAAATAGTCAACATTATTAAAGCTGTAAAATAACGCATAAAACTTATCTTCATTCTGTGCCTGCCTCTGCCCCATAACGGATGGAATGCGTGGGACGTATGGGGGTGCACATGGGCCCTGGGTTTATATACTTTGCTGTGACATAAAATATTGTGGTTGTCAAGTTCGCCCACAGACTAGCTGCAGAACGGCCCACAAGACTTGCTTTCTTAGGAGATACCACCAACACAGATAAGGAAACCACCACACTAGCACCTCATCTTGACAATCAACATTGCTCCGAGGGCTTTTGGTCCACATCCCAGTGGAGCGGCGTAACTACTAGAAGACTCTGCCACAGTCGTCAGATTCCTCATATCACAACACATCACATCACGTGACACCACACAACCCTGGTTCCTAGTATCCCCAGCAAAGCCCACCGCAGCACCCCAAATAACACCACATCCTGCGAATGTGTGGGGTTGGGCCAGAGAGGGCCTGTGTTCGAGCATCCAGAAAGCCTTTTTCCTTCTAGGTAGGTAGGGTCTGTACCCTGTGGTGGACACAAAGGGTCTCCTTTCACCACAACAGAGAATCCAACCATTGTAAAGCACAAGGAGGGAACCTGTTCTAAACTCCCACAAATAGGGGTGCCTGGGTGGCTCAGTCGGTTAAGCATCTGCCTTCGGTTCAGGTCATGATCTCAGGATCCTGGGATGGAGCCCCTCGTTGGACTCTCCGTTCAGCAGGGAGTCTGCTTCCCCCTCTCCCTCTGTCCCACCAGCCCCCCTTTCATTTGCTCTCGCTTTCTCAAGTAAATAAATGGAATCTTTAAAAAAAAAAAAAAAAGGACTTTCCAATTTTGCCTAGAAGTGCTCAGTCCTCAATTAGCTAGGAGCTCCTATAGCAGAAGGAAACAGGAGTTCTTTTGAAAGAATATTGACGGGGCACCTGGGTGGCTCAGTCATTAAGCATCTACCTTTGGCTCCAGTCGTGATCCCAGGGTCCTGGGATGGAGCCCCTCATAAGGCTTCCTGCTTGGCGGGAAGCCTGCTTCTCCCTCTCCCACTCCCCCTGCTTGTGTTCCCTCTCTCGCTGTGTCTCTCTCTGTCAAATAATAAATAAAATCTTAAAAAAAAAAATAGAATATTGACATAGCAAAGCTCCGTCATTCAGAGTCCAAGTAGTCCAGCTTGTGAGTTACAGAAGCCCCCCAGTTTTGATCCTGACGCTAGAAATCTGGCCAAGTCTCCTCCTACAAACAGAATGGGCTGAGACAGGGAGAGGAGTGAGATTATAACTAACTGACTGTGGTTTGCAGCTTCTGATAACGGAGGATTAGCTCCCAGGGGATCCACCCGCCTACAGATAACAACTTTAAACTCTTGACCAAATACAAAGAAACAATAGCCCAAAGGCACCAGACAGCAGCCAAAAGCAGGTCCACACTGGAGGGGAATTGAATCCACACTTGGGAAAAGGAAGAAGGGCCAGTGAATTTTCTTTTGCTTACCAGTTTCATCTAAGGGCAGACCCCAGCCAAGACAAGTAAGACCACTAAAACTCGGATAGGAAACCTGCAGCCCTTTCGGCTTGCTCGAAGAACCGGGGTGACCCCAGGAGCCATAAAATGAAAGAGCAATTTCCAGAAGGGACAGAGCCCTGGGAGAATGGTCCTAATTCTGTGTATTAAGTCTGCTCCCGATACTGGCTAGTCCCTGATCTGTGTGTGCATCAGACAGACACCAAGCCTCCATCCACCCAGGGGAAAGAGTTGGGAGTTTCTATCTAGCCAAGTTTGCAGACTGCTAAAGAAACCAAGCAAAATACTCTTGGTAAAAACATAACACTTAGCAAATTAAGAAGAAGGGAGGAAACACTAAACACAGGAGCACCAATCAATGAACAAGAAAGCAATTAATATATTTTAAGAAGCCCAAAAGTTAGTTCTTTAAGAGGAGCAACAAAATTGGTATGTGCTTGGGGCGCCTGGGTGGCTCAGTGGGTTAAAGCCTCTGCCTTCGGCTCAGGTCATGATCCCAGGGTCCTGGGATCGAACCTGGGATTGAGCCCCGCATCGGGCTCTCTGCTCGGCGGGGAGCCTGCTTCCTCCTCTCTCTCTCTCTCTCTGCCTGCCTCTCTGCCTACTTGTGATCTCTGTCAAATAAATAAATAAAATCTTAAAAAAAAAAAATTGGTATGTGCTCGATCAATCAGTCCAGAAAAGAACAAGAACATGAATTGGCAATATCAAAAACCAAAACCAGCATTCCCTGCAGATTCTAGAGACGTTATTAACATCTCAGTAAGGAACATTACAGAGAACTTTATGCCAATGCATTTGACAACTTAGTTGTCTCAATTTGAACTTGACAAATTCTTTGGAAAAAAAATAAACCTTACAAATCCTGATACGAGGGTAGAATAACTCCATGTTTATTGAAGAAATAGAAGTAATTCCCAAACTTATCCCCAAAGAATAAAATATAAATATATACTTATATATATCCAAAATTCCAATCTTTTGTTAGTTATAAATATATCTATAATTTACATGAATACAACCCAATGATA